TTCGTCACTTGTGTTTTGTTGCCTTTTCCGCTCTGTACAAGGGCCTTCGCTTTACTACAAGAACGGTTCTTTACGTGTTAAATTCCTTGTCTTTGAAGATGTTTAGTTGGGAGCCATCCTCTTCATCGCTTTGAAAGCGATTTCATTTTCATGAACTACTTGAACTGTATGGTCTGATAGCAATCCACCGGAAAGCTGCTCACTCTAAGTAATACCTTTTTCAATAGATGGATAATACTTGTATAAAATGTTTATATTAGACCTTGTTTTTTGTATTGTGATTTCGCCTTCTACTTTTCTACAAACAACTGTCAAAACAACWACTCCTTGCCTCGGAGTTTGAACTTCGCTTCGGATGTGGCGTTTTCGGCATCATGCACGTTTTCCTCAACTCAAATTCGTCAGAATAATAAAATTCTCTGGAAAAAAATTCTTCCTCGTCATTCTTAATATTTCTTTGCTTGCTTCTCGTATAGTTATTCTCAAATTCAGTTAAAAAAAATATCAAATCTCGCGCCTTGAAAAATGTCAACAAACGGGCGCTCGGGATATGACTTTCGGACCGTTGTCATGGTAATCGGTCGGAGATGGCAAAATATCGCCCTCGCGTGAGCCAATCAGAACGCGCGTACTATCCAAGTCATATAATAAACTGATATCTTTATGGCAAAAATAAAAATATTTGTAGGGAGTACCCCATATCACAAAATTATCTAGTGAAAAGCGCGCGCTCTTATTGGCTAAAGTTGACGTATTCGTGACGTACAACAGGGGTATTCAGCGTGCGTATAGGGCTGAATACCGCGCAAAATCAGGAAGCCCGCACAAAGCTTATCATTTTGTTATTTATTTATTTATTTTTTCTCAAAAAAGGAGCAATGATAATTTTTTGATAATTATTACATTATTGTTAGAAAGAACTGGAAATAATCGAGCTAAAGAATGTTTTAAGCTTTTCAAAAAGCAAAGTTTTCATTTGTTTTCAAAAGCTAAATAACACGCRAAAACAGGAAGCCCTCGCGTAGCTCAGATGTTAATTTCGTTTTACAACTTGCTTTGTTATAAAACTTTTGAAGGACACAAAAACAACTTTAAATCGCTGAATGAATTTTGAATTTCCAAAAGTAACTAACGAAGAATACRAGCTTCCTAACTTCGAGCTTATAACTGGCAGTGAAAAGCCCTAACGAAGCAAAAAGCATCTTRCACTCGTGAAAAGCGACAACATTATGGAAGATCACAATACAACATATAAATGAACAAATCCACAGCTACAAATAAGATCCAAGAAAAACCTGAAGCATTGTGCCATACTCGCAGTTAAAAATTAAGATTTCAAGTGACAATAGTGGATGAAAACACGAATAGAAGCACTACCTTCTCACTGACAGTCAATCGCTTCAAAGATTGGTGTCAAGCTATAAGTATGGTAAAGACCGGTAAATAGATTGTTTTACCACATATTATAATTTTCTCGCTTTCTGATTGGTCGAGATTTGCTCGAGATTTGCTCGCGATTAACTTTGATAGTACTTACAGCCGTTACGGATAATACGTAGGGAGTCGAACGAAAAATCCTACTGGATTCATGCATTTTACAGATWTCAATCATAAACATTTCCATGACTACCATTGGATAGCTCCTCCCCCAACATGAATTGGTTTCCTCGAATATCGACAAAACTAGCCATACAAGAATGGTCAACATGGTCAAAGCGTTTTCAAAGTCTAGTACTTTGTGTGTTAGTGAAGCATTCGTTTCGAAAATACAGAGACTATACACAAATACACTTGATGTCAGACTGGAACAGCTCGRAAAATCGTGCTATTAAACGTCTAATAATCAGGACTATCTGCGGCTATATGCAAGAAATACCAACATGAATCGATTTAGAGCAT